CGGTGAAATTCTTGCACAAACCGTCGGAACACGGGATCACAAACAGACTGAGCAATAGTATGGCGTTTACGGACAGAAACATAAGTGCTATGAACTCCAGTGATGTCAGCGTTTGGCTGGCGCTCAGCTCCGGCTCCAGCTGTCGGGCCTCACGAGTGGCCGCCGGATACGTTTGGGTGATCAGCGCCTTGTCTTTTGCCAACTGATTGACCGGTTGCCCGATGTATGCGATGTTTGCCTCCTTTGCCTTCATGTCCTGTATCTCAACGGTCGTCACATTTATGGATCCGACGCCGTTATGGTTGACCACAAGTGTCCGGACGTCGAGGAGTGGGTCCTTTCGGTAGAGAAGAAAGCGGACCACTTTTAGGTTGGAGTCGACGCTCTTGGGCTGACTGGCCATCAACTGTTTGGGCGAAATGGTGAGTGATATGAGCGCCGCCTTCGTGTCCATCACATCAATGGTTATCGTTGTCTTCGTTATGTCAAACGTCTGCTTAAAGGCCCCGAAGATGAACCGTATTATGTAAGTATAGCCGGCCGTACGAGTCGTGCATTTGTCGCAAACTTTGTCCCAATAGTAGAGATCCGGAGGGAAGAGGAAGTACACAATCAGCGATAGTAAGGCGACGGACAGCCATATAATGGCGGTCACAATCAGCGCTAACTTGTCTTCAATCATATTCAAAGGTATGGCTTATGATTACAAATTTGTGTCCACTTTTGGTTTATTGATAATTGAGAGCAAAAAGAGTTAACGATTTTAGTACTGAATCTAAATTCAAATTAGTGTTTGAATTGTAAATACCATTATTGCAAACAATATGTGCATCGATCGTGCAGTCAATGTCTAACACAATTAACAATTAAATGAGTTTTGAATGCATTTATTTTGCATTGAAATAAGGCATCAAAAAAGCCGTTGAAAAACCGTAAACTCTTTGAAACAACTCTTAATGAACTAATCCTCAAATATGGACTCCATTTGCTATTATCTGTGTTGTTGTGGTCTCTGTTGTTATCAGAAGAAGACTTCGGGTAAGAGTGAGAAAAAAGGCGAAAACAAAGCGGCGGTCGTCGGCCTCTTTGCTCCGCCACAGAGAGCGGCGTCAGTGTCTCAACGGTCGGACTCGAAGTCATCGATGACCGACAATCCGGAGGGTCTTCGGGTGGGCAGCAAATATGTGGTCGTGAGATACGTCGCCGGCGGCTCTTTCGGCCGCTTTTATTTGGGCAAAAACATTGTGACCAACGAAGAGATCGGCATTAAACTGGAGAAACAGGACATCGAGAAGAAACAGTTGCCCTTTGAGTTCCGCTTTTACAAGATGTTGGACGCCGTCGACGGCCCGAGGAGGAAGGGTATACCGCGGATCTATTTCTTCGGTCCGTGCGGTCCGGCCTGGAATTCGCTGGTCATGGATCTGATGGGCCCGAGTCTGGAGAATATACACGACAAGTGCGGCTCAAAGTTCTCGCTGAAGACTACGATATTGATTGTGAACCAACTGTTGGACGTCTTTGAGTTCTTCCACAGCAAAGGCCTCATCTATAGGGACACAAAGCCGGAGAATTTTATGTTTGGCCGCTCGGGAACCGATACCTACAATGTCGTCCATATCCTAGACTTAGGCCTCTGTAAGGAGTATTTGGACGACGAGGGAAAGCACATCCCGTATGTCGACGGCAAGGGAGTGACCGGAACCGTCCGCTATATGAGCATCAATAATAACAGAGGCAAAGAACAGGGCCGGAGGGACGACATGGAAGCGCTGGGCTATATGTTTGTCTACTTTCTTCGGGGAGAGTTGCCGTGGATAGGAGTGAAGGCCCCGA